ATGGTTTTCAGTTACCACCAGGGTTTCAACAAAAATAGAAAAAATTAAACAATAAAATCTTTGAAAGTAACACAATCCAACCATAAAAATAGTAAGAGAGACGATTATGAAAATTACAAAAAAAAAACCATATTTATCTCTCTGGACCATTGTTGTTTTAATAATCTTAGCTACTTTTGGATTTCTTATTTGATATTTATATATATTTATTTATTTTGTAGTATGATACATCCTGAGTATTTTGTTTATTAAATTGAGGTGGGAGTGATTTTTATTTTCTTATTAAATCACCATATGATCAAAGTTGTCCCTCTCACATATAAAAAATGTTGTTCATAGAGAGATTCTTCTTCAATCAATATTCAATTTATTATATATTTCTTTAATTTATTTTAAGTTAACCTATAGATCTATTATTAAATATATTCCTGTCATTTTTTTCATAAATAATAAATCAAACTATTCATAAAAGACAAACAAATACCTATGAAGTAACAATTTTACTTTACAACTTTCATTTGAATTACATTATATGTAATTAAACTTTAATTATCTATATGATCTCTTTCATTTTTTTCCCTTTTTTTGTTTTTTTTTAATTCATTTCAAAATATTTCATATTTCAACTCAATAAAAAGTTTATTTATTCAAAATTTAAATTTCACCAAAAAAAAATATATGTTCAAAATATTTGAAACCACGTGCAATGCACGTGATTCTAACTAGTGAATTTAAAAGAAGGAAAAATATTTCTATTAATTTTTCCTAAAAATTATGTATAATTTAATTTTTTTTTTAAATTAAAAGAATTGAAAAACGGAAAGTTTCCTAAACAAATTTGTCAATCTTTAAAAAAAAGAAAGAATATAATATATAAATTAGTGAGATATCTAAACCCTAAATTTTAAATGGTGTAGCCACCACCTATTCTTATGAACCTACAGGACATTCTTTTTAATTTTGATACATCGATTGTCGTCTATTTAATATTATTCATGCTCGCAATTTCAAGGCTAATTTTTTTTTTATTTCAATTTATACGTTGCTGTTACATATAGGTAATATTTTTCTATTAACTATTGTATCATCTACCGAATATCTTTGTTTCTCTTTAAATCATCATTTTTGAGATTCGATTGTTTTTATTTTATATTATTTTTTAATCTGAATTTTGCAATCTGTAGAGTCTAAGGAAGTCGACTATTTGGAGATTAATTATTTAAGATACATTTTCTTTAACTTTACATCATTTATGATATGAATTTGAAATTATTTAAAATATAATAATTATAAAATGTTGAGCTAGAATATAAGACTGTCATGTTTCAATTTGTTTTATACATATAATTATTGTCATTCTTATTTTTATTTTAGCTTAATATTCTTGTATATTTAATTTGAAACCTAAATGGATATATACTATAAAAGAAAATTGGTTGGTTCATCATCTCTATTGAATAAAAGTAATAATAATTCGGATAGATATTTTACGGAAGTAAATTTAGAAGAATTATCTACAAGTCATGATCTAAGAACTAGCATTATTGATTACAATTGTAATATTCGAGATTAATTTCGTAAAGCATGTTTAAAAAAAGAACCTTGCCACCCTCAAAATAATACTTTTCCATTGAAGAAATTTGGGTCACAGTCAAGACGATTAAATCCAGCTTGGTTTTACTGAATATTTTAATTGGTTGTAATATAATATTTTGAAAGGCGAGGCCTTTTGTTTATGTTGCTATTTATTCCAACAAAAGTTGGAGAGCACTCAGACGGTGACCATTTTGTTGGTGAATGATTTTTAAATTGAAAGAAAAATGAGAAATTACAAACTCATATTGAAGGATCAAATAGTGTGCACGACCAAGCTTGGAGGAAATGTGAAGCTCTTTTGAAGCAAAAACAACACATCGAAACATTTATTAGCAAGATGTTTGACCAAGTAAGAATTGATTATCGAACTTGATTAGGTGCAACAATTGATTGTGCTCGATTTTTGTTAAAATAAGCGCTTCCATTTTGTAGGCATGATGAACATGAAGATTCATAAAATGAAGGGAATTTTTCTGAACTCTTACGGTGGCTATGCAACCACGATAAGGATGTTGAAAATGTGTTGCTTTGAGAAATGTTCCTACAAATTTAAAACTAATTGCATCATATATATAAAAAGATTTTGTGGATTGTATCACAATAAAAATTGTTGATGCAATCATAAGAGATATTGGTGATGAGTTCTTTTAAATTTTGATTGATGAGTTTAAGGATATATATTCGAAAGAACAAATATCAATTGTGTTGAGATATGAGGACAAAGGACATATGATTGAATGGTTTGCTAGTATTGTACATGTTACAACTACAAATTCTCTGTCGCTTAAGAAAGCAAATAATGTAAATATTAGTGGTGATCTTTTTTTGTTAGTTATAAATGTGATAAATGTTGGGGCATCATCAATACGTCGAGATATTTTAAGAGAAAAACATAGTGTTATAACTCTTGAAGCTTGGATAATGGTGAGATATCAAATGGGCGAGAACTAAATGAAGAAACAATTATTAAACGACTAGGAGATACACGATGATGATCACATTACAATGCTATAGTCAGCTTTATTGCAATGTTCTCACCAATTAGTGATGTACTCGAGACAATTGTAGAGGATGGGTCAACTTTTGAACAAAATATGAAGCAAAGGTTCTAATAAATTTGATTCATACGTTTGATTTCATTTTTCATATGCATCATATGAAAGTTATATTGGGAATCACAAATGAATTGTCTCAGGCACTATAGATAAAAGATCTAGAGATATCGTGAATGCAATGATTATGGTTAAGATTTGTAAAGAAAGATTACATATAAACAATGAGAGAATCAGGTTGGGATTAAATACTAGATAAAGTTTTTAATTTTTGTGATAAGCATGATGGTGAAATGCTTGATATGGATGATATGTTTTCGACTCGAGGGAAGAAAAGACGAAAATCTCGAACAATCACAAATATGCACTATTATCCTGTTGAGATTTTTTACACGGTCGTTGATATGCAACTTCAAGAGTTGAAAAACTGTTTTACCGAAACAAGTACTGAATTACATCTTTGTGTAGCATGCTTGAATTCAAACAACTCATTTGCTGCTTTTGAAAGACAAACTTATTCGTCTCGCTTAATTTTATCCTAGAGATTTTTCAACTACTGATCTTATTATTCTTGAGGATTAGTGATAAACGACAACCTAAACATATGAACTACTTG